CTCCAGCGTTCCCATTGACGGTCCAAGTCCACCAAGCAAATGTTCATATCTCCAAAGTTCAAAGTCTTTCTCCCAAGTCAAAACCGCCATTACCACTTCCACTAAACTAATAAATCCCCTCTCCCCCCACTTGGATTTTGACAAAACCAACAAGAAATCCCCCAGATCATCATGGGTTCTGCCTCTGCAGAAATGGGTTTTGCTCGGTTTCTCCTAATTCTCCTATTACTTTCTCTTCTCACCACCACATCCACCGCTCAATCCTTCAAGTGCAGCTCTCCGGCTAGCTGTAGCGCCCTTGTCGGCTACGCTCCCTACAACGCCACCACCCTCTCCGAAATTCAATCCCAATTCAATGTAAAAAAGTTCCACTCCCTCCTCGGTGCGAACAACCTCCCCCTCTCCACACCTCGCACCTACTCTATTAAATCCAAACAAACCGTCAAAGTCCCTATCCCCTGCATTTGCTACAACAACACCGGTACTCCTCCATTTCTTATTTCCTCTTAATTTCCTTAATTTCATTCGATAAAATAAATTATAGTAACTTGCTGTAAACAGGGGTTTCGAACAAGGTGCCGATTTACACGGTGAAAAAAGACGATGGGTTGTACTTCATAGCTTCCACGGTGTTCTCTGGGTTATTGAAGTACCCGCAAATTGTGGTGGCGAATAAGATTCCGGACAAGGATAAGATAGATATTGGGCAGAAGCTGTGGATCCCGCTGCCGTGCAGCTGTGATGAAGTGAGCGGTGAGAAGGTGGTGCATTATGCCCATGTGGTGGAGGCGGGCAGTACGGTGGAGGAGATTGCGAAGCGGTTTGGGACCGATTCTCAGACTTTGCTTAGCATCAATGGGATGGCAAATGATAGCCAGTTGATGGCCGATCAATCTCTGGATGTTCCTCTCAAAGGTGCTTTCCAATTTGTTGCTGAATTTTTTTGAGTTTCATTTTGGATATTATTCTTTGATTTTTCTGTTTTGATGCCTTAATATTTTAATCGAGGATTTATTGATTAATTAAAAGAAAGAGCACCGTGTTGGGCAGGGTCATGACCATGGATCAAAATGCTGAGGTGAATAAAAATTATAAAATATTATTTTTAAAAATATTAATTTAATTAATAAAAATAATTAATAATTATAATTATTACTAATTAATAATTAATAAAATATTTATTAATTAATAAATTAAAATCACTCAACATATTTATTCACACACAACTAAAAATAAAAAAACCTGAAAAATTGATGACTAGCTGACCACAGCCCACCGATCACAGCCGGTGTTGTCAATTCATCTAGTCGGTAGGGTCCCCACATTTAGTTGTCTTCTATTATTGCATTGGTGATCACTACTAAATTAAAATTTTCTGCCAAATCCAAATGTAATTATGTAAAATATTGAATAAGGTCACAATTGACTTTTAAAGTTACACATGGACTAGGGATCAAGCTGTTTGAAATGAGATTATATTACAAATTTTGGGGTCCAGGCGTTTGAAATGAGATTATAAAATTATGCTCTAAAATCCCATTTTTGAAAGAAGAGTATAAAGGTTTTGGCTCGGATCATTTTACTTTATATTAGAACAATGTCTTTTAACTCACATAGATCATGATTTACATATTATAATGGTTGGATTTGCTAGGGACTAGAGGTACAAGGTGCAAAATTGCAAATATTGTATTCAAGCTATCTTCGGACTTGAAGTCCTTTATCCTTGATTTAAAATTGATGCTTAGAGAACTTTTTTCAGCTCCTGATTTCTTGATCTTTCACGTCATATTCAAATCATTTCACTGCTTATAATTAGTTATCTACCTTTGATGCTTTTCTGCAGCTTGTAATTCATCAATAAAAGAGAACTCGTTAGACTACTCCTTACTTGTTCCTAATGGCTCATATGCCATCACTGCCGGTGCTTGTGTCAAATGCAGCTGTGATTCCCCCGACTGGACGTAAGAATCCCTTAAATGGCGGGCACATTACCTCAACACTAAATGTCATGTTTTTTGTTATGATCAATTCTAATACGATTATGTACATTTATGCCTGTATCTTCAGATTACAATGTGAGCCTTCCCAGCTCAACACAACCATATCCAATTGGGGGGCGTGTCCTTCAATGCAATGTGAAGAAGTATCGGGAAGTCCATACATTGGCAACACAACTTCTTTGAGCAACTGCAATCGCTCAACCTGTGCCTATGCTGGCTATGACAATAAAACCATCTTCACATCCCCTACCACGGAGTCTACTTGTCCAGGTAAGTTAAATATACTGATATTTCCATGCGTTAGTTTGTTGTTCATAATTTACAAACTCTAATGGCATTTTTTTTTTTTTTTTTGATAAACAGCATCACCTCCTTCCGGCAATAATTCATCCAAAATTGATTCAAATTGGAACTTCCTTTTCATCTGTGTTTTTACTTTGTTGCTTTGTTTTTATCTTTCCTAGTGAGACATTGATACCATATGCAAATTGTGGAGCATTTTGGTTTGGTTAGCTTCAGCTTGAGAAAATACCATATACAAAATAATTTGTGATGGAGCTAGAGATATGCTTCCTTTAATTTTGTTTCTTTCAATGTTTAGTAAGAGATATACATCTGAAATCTTTTAAGACCTTAGTCTGTCTTTTAATCAATAGCATATCATTGAATGCAATGTTCAACATTTTAATGCTTATAAATGTAAAACTAGAATATAATTTCCAAAAACTAATATGTAACAGGGATGGTACAACAGAGATTGTTTGATGGGGGGTGAATCTCAAATTGGGAGTTATTTTCCTATTCAACCATCCATGTTTTGTAGTTTAATGCATTTTAAATTATAAAACAAGAAACTCATATAAATTACAAAATCTTTAAATTTTAATTTTATAGAAATGTGTTATGTTGTGCGGATGTAAAACTACATTTTCTTTCGCATGCTCCTATTATTTGTTTTTAGGTAAAGAGTTTTGTAATTTGGATTGTATTGGATTTCATAACACTAATTATTGAATAGGAATTGGATCCTATATTAAGAGATCTGCTCTATTTAATAATTTTTATTTTACAATTTAATACAATTTAAATTATAAAATAAAATTTCCTTGTTTCTATGGGCTATGTCCATGGGTCCAATCCATTTCCACCAAACTCAATCTAACGGGCGTCAAGAGCCCAACGGGCCTAAAATTGAAATCCACGTCGCTAATAAGCCAAAAACGCTTCTTAAGCCCCTTAACTTTTTCGACAGCAATTTACAAGCCCCTGAACTAAAAAAGTGGCAAATAAGCCCTCCAACCCCACGGTGGGTGCAAATCAGCCCCTCCGCTAACTGACTTCGTGGCGTCCTTTGTCATCAGCTTCCGTGGCATTGCAGCTGCACGCCTTCGCTTTTTCTTTTTTTTTTTGCCTTTACTTCATTTGTTTTTAATAATAATATATATTTTTAATTAATTAATTTATATTATATAATATACATACCTTATAGTGATTTTTTTAATAAAATAATGATATATTTTTTATTTTAATTAATAAGATATTTACTTCAATAATCTCTATAAATTATTTCTTAAATTTAATTAAACTATCTAATTAATAAATAATTTTTAACATATTTCTTAATTTTGTCATTAATTATTATAAAAGGAATTTTTTAAATTCAAGTGGGTACATATTAAAATTATAATAAATATATTTTTTGTCATAAATTTATATTGAAGGAATAATATTGTCTTTTAATTTATTAATTTATTAATTAAATTTATCAATGTGACAATGATACTAAAATTAATATTAACTTTTATATTCTTCTATATAAATTAATGATAAAAAGATGTACTTAAAAGCAAAAATTAAAAAATCTTAGCATTTTAAATGTTATGAGTTCCTATAAAATTATTTAAATACCCTTCAGAAATATTTTTTTATTAATTTACTAAAGGTACTTTAATCTTTTATTATTATTTATGATATTTTAATTGCATTTCAAAATTGTTTTTAAAACATATATAAAATGTCAAAAATAAAAATGAAAAGACTAAAATGCTTTTAATGAATCAACAAAAAATATTTATTAACGATATTTAAATAATTTTATAAGGATTTTAAAATTTAAAATGTCAAATTTGTATCATAAAAGACACATTTTTATCATTAATTTATATTGAAAAATATAAAAACTAATATTAATTTCAGTGTCATTATTACGTTGATAAATTTAATTAGATAATTAATAAATTAAAGATCAATATTTATTTTTTCAATATAAATTTTTAGTAAAAATGTATTTATTATATCTTTAATATATATTTTAAAAGTAAAAATTAGGAAGATCCTTTTATAATACTTCATCTATTCATTTTTAGTAAATCTAGTTTTTTTATCTAATAAAATAGAGATGTAACAATTTATTATTTCATATTTATCCTTAATTAAATATTACTTAAATAAGATTTTTTATTTAATATATGTTGTAATTATTTTTTAAAAATGATGGTTAACAAGAATAAACATATTAAATGATATCTTAAAAACAAAAAGCGAATAATTAAATTCAAACAAACTAAATAAAAAATTAAATCTATCAAATTTAAATTAAAAAAATTAATGAAAAAAATAAAAAACATGTTTAATTTTTTTTATTAATTAAGTGGTTTAATTAAATTTAAAAAGTAATTTATAAAGTCCATTGAAGTAAAATATATTATTAATTAAAATAAAAAATATATCATTATTTTATTAAAAAATACTTGAGGATATGTATATTATATAATATTAATTAATTAATTTAAAAAATTAATTAATTAAAAAATATATATTATTATTAAAAACAAATGAAGTAAAAGCAAACAAAAAATAGAAGCAAAGGCGTGCAGGAGAAGTGCCACGGAAGCCGATGACAAACGGCGTCACAAAGTCAGTTAGCGGAAGGGCTGATTTGCACCCATCGTGGGGTTGGAGGGCTTATTTTCCACTTTTTTAGTTCAGGGGCTTAAGATGGGTTTTTGCCCATAATTATCCCTTCCCTTAGTGAATTTAGAAGAAGAACGGAAAAATGTCCGACCCTAAAGAGCCATATGCCCTCTACAAATTCTGAGCAACCAAACAAAACATTTTCCATTCAAATCTT